TCCATAGCCAGCCTTTAATTTCCAGTAAAATTATTTAATATTATCTTTAATATCTCGAATTCTATTAAGTTTAGAAGGTATAACTTATGAAACTTTTTTAAAGTAAAAATACCAAATAGTATAAAAATATACAGTACGTACCACTTAAAAAAAGTCAAAAATAGGTATATCTCCGAATATTAAAATATTTTCTTTTCTGATTTACATTAATTTATGTAGCTTACTAGAAACACTAACAATTTTATTTGAAAGATTTTTTGTATCTTTAAAAATGTTCGAGAAAAATCGCGTTCTCTAGTTCTGTTTACACCCTGTAAATCACAAACTCCATGTCATTTGAAACGTTTAATTGGAGTATTGCATCCGCGTACTTAGAGTTTAATGAAATCATTTGACATAACTGAAGATGTTCTGAAATCCGGGAAAATCATTTGCTTGTAATGAATCGATATCCTTCAATGGGGAAGTGGAAATGTCTCTCAAGTAAGGCGGGTTTTGCGGGAACGTTTCTTCAAAGAATAATTGGAAAGTTTCTTTTCTGTGTTTACTGTTCATCAGATCAGAATAAAAGGTATTAGGTGAGTAAATCATAATTAAATAAAGCTCTTCGGTGCGGCGTACACAAATTCAAAAGCAGATGACGATAATTGACATTAATGCCGTTTTATAGCACCTAATAAATATACCTACCTTTTAATCAGTCCTTTCCCTTTTTTTAAATCCACCACTGCGAATATACAAATCCCTTAGGAGCTAATGAAAAAAAAAACTACAAGGCGTTTGGTGGCAAATATAAACAGTAACAGTCGCAAGCTACATGTAAATTCATCCCGGCAAAGTGGGAATTAAGTTGGTCATGACTTCCGGTAGAAACAGTCAGGGCGGGCCGTTTCCGGCTCGATTTAGATTACTTTTGTATATAACTTGACAGTTAAGAATGATTAGTTGACAGTTTCGTTACACGATATACCATGCACGTTTTTAGAATTGTAGACGATAGTATCGAAGGTTTTGCGCGCGGCCGTAATTATACGGACAAAAGGCAACCTTTTTTTTTGCGATCTGATGGCGCATGAAAATATGCAACAAGTTTTATTCCACGTAAATCGCTTTTTTTGTAAGTTTCATTTGCGAGATGCGATCGATTAATCAAAAATTTCGCCGCGGGCGTGTAGCATACCAACGATTTTTAATGGACGTCCGTAATAATCTCCTCTCGTCTTCATTACTGTCGCTACTGGCTTGCTTTAGGTTCCGTTTCATAATCATTTTTTCAATTAAGTCATGCCATTCTCCTTATGGCCAAGTGTCAAGACTATAGAAAACAGCAAAGCATACTTAGGAATTGGCAGTTTCTTTTGATATTTACAACTCCTTACTTTGATTTGACGTTTAGCAGGTAGCAAGTTGACTATAGTTACTTTCAGAATTTCCTACAGAGCCTTATTTACCATTTTCATAGCTAGAACAGCACAGGAATGCTTTAAGAAGAACCTGAGTCCAACAATCACATTAAACATTTATGGGTATTTTCCCGAGCAGAATGACCGTAGGAAATGGACTAAAAATTTCTAATAGAGTGCCTAACAGACAGGGGCTGCGGGTTTTAATTTTTTGCATGGGGGCAAGGGCCAGGCCAATTTCCTTGAGGTATAATAGGGATCATCCGACTATGAGTCTCACTGGTAGAGCGTTGGGCTACATAGCCGGAAGGTCGGATGTTCCATTCGAACCTGGGTTGAGGTGAGAATTTTTCATATGTGGCAGAGATGGGAAATTTCCTTAGATCAGTTTCGAGCAATCTGCCGGCTACTCCAAATTAAATTTTCCTGCAGTTTTTCATATTTGTAGGGTAAATATCGGTTAAATATCCCCCATATTAAATAGGAAAAAATTATTGCACCTTTAATTGCAACCAATCGAGATAATGACAATTTATTTCTACTGCCATTTTGATTACCTATGTGCATAAATAATCATTACCTTCAGAGCAATAAATTAGATTTAATTTAATAATTGTAATGGTTCAAAGTGCTACAGGTCTATTGTAATACGGCGCAGTAATTTTGAAAGACTGATGCCGAGACTGATGCAGATCAGTGGAAGCAGGTGGTAAGCACTTAGTTTTATCATAATGGCCAATAATGAATGGCACGGGATAGTGGCAATAAAATTCCTACCTAATTAATCTAAATCTGCTCAATTATTACCCACTTATGCATGTGAAGAAAATTCTCTTGATCATTAAAGAGAAATAGTAATCTTTTCGAGAATTTTAGCACGCGGTCGAAAAAGTTCATAAGGTTTTCAGCTGGATCTTGACAAAAATTCTTTGGTAGATTTCGAGGAGATTTTCTTCAAGATGTAGAAGTTTCCAAGAAAGTCTCTAAAAGTATTTTTGAGAAGACTTCAGATCTAGACGCTTACAATTTCTTTGGATTCTACCGGACAAAATACACCAGACTTTTTTCTATCGACCTGCGACAACCTTTCCGATAGATTTTAGAGGTTGTGATTTTTTTATTTTACAGGATAAAATCTATAAGACAATTTCTTTTTTGGGTAGCGCTGCGGAAACTGTATGATTTTATTTGTTTTTTTTTTATTGTTAATCCATAGGCAACATTTATTTTTTACATTGGTTCCATGGTTCTAATTTTCTTGTAGTGGTTAGAGTTTTTACGGCATATCCTGACAGTTCTAATTCTTTATTTATTTATACAACAATCTTTTCATCGATTTTATAGGCAAAGCTTTGTTTTTTTATAAATTGGTTTAATGGGCCTACTTTTTACTTGTGCGGTTTTGATTTTTTTTGATACTACATGCTAAAAATCATCGAAAATAATGCATTAATCGGCCGATGTGTGGCAATTTTTTTCCTCTCGATTTTAACTTATTTCATTTGGTTTTTTTTAGAAGATTTGCGTAAATATTTTTAATAAAATGGTTAGAAATACCTCTCGAAATATTTCTACGAATCCATGTAAGATCTTTCAGCTCTGTTTTATGTAGTGGCCAGGCCTTGAAGGTTATGATTTTTTGGTATTTTAACGCCAAAGCTATAAAAAATGTCGTTTCTTTGGTTGACGTAGAGTTTTTTTTATTTTATTTGTTTTGTTTTACAAATTAAGTCGTTTTTTTTTTGTAGTGGTTGGATTTTGACGGCTCTCATTTTTTTACATTTTGTTTCGGTTGGCAGACTTTCCGCTCAATTTTAGAGGCAAAACTTTTTTTGCCAATTGTGTTAATGAATCGATCTTTTTGTAAAATGTTTGTCAAATTGGTTTGGTAGCTCATCTTTTATGTGTAGTGCTCACGTTGTTGATTTTTATGGGGCAGAATCTATTAGATTTAGTGAAAATTTTATTTTTCGGTCGATGAGCAAACCGAGGGGTAAACCACTTACAAAATGAAATTCTAAAAGAAATTTAAAAAAATTCTAAAGGGAATTAAAAAAAATTCTACAAAAATTGTGGAAAATTATAGAGAATTTTTAGAAAATTCTACAAAATGCTAGTAGTGTACACCAAAATTCTACAGTGATTTTCCCCTCGGTGCAAACAATGTTAAAGAAAAACTTTGAAGAGCTTTCCAAGACCAGAAAAAGTGTCTGAGGTGGTTGTAGTGTACCTACTTAACCCCGAGGCTCTACGCCAAATTCATACTACAATAACATGGAAATAAAATCAAACGGGCAACGTTTAACATTGTCCTCCGGAATCGCTATTTCCTCCACAAACTCAACGGATCCCGCTTTAATTTGAAATCGAAAAGTGGCATGTAATCAAACATCTAAGGTAAGGCAGCACCTTTACGTTATTATGTAAAGGCCATCCATAAGCGTGATGGCGTATATAATTTGTATTTTAATTAGCCTTTGTATTTTGATCAATTATTTTATTCGTCAATAATCTCGGATAAGTAATAGGAAAAATTATTGATAATAAATTATGACATAAATGACATGCACAAAGCACGATTTCGAGACAGGTTAAAGCAAGTTGCAGAACAAAGAACTGGTTAGACGTTAGAGTACAAGCAGGTAGGAAACAAGGTAGCTGTATAACAGGTGAAAACGGAAAATTCAAAGTGCGGAAATGTGGAATTTAATTAATCGCAACTTATAACGCACAAAATAGATTCTAAATCGAAGAGTTTTTGTGTTAGCTAGTCTCACCCCTGAGACAGGTAACAATAAGCCCTCGTTCGGGATTTTCCAGCTTATAGTTGAGATTCGAGATCAATTCCAGCATTAGGTGTCGTCATTAATGTCGTGTCGTGTAAGGTTTCTTATTTATGGAGATATTTTTTTGAAATTTTAACAACAGATGCTTCTAGTAAAGACAAGCATATCGCATATTTTAAACATCAGGTGTGCGCATGCGTATGGTCACTAAAGAACTTCGAAGAAGTTAATTTTGAAAATATTTTAAAAAGGGGTTTTAAGTGACTTCTCTATAGAAGGTTTACATAAAGGTTTCTAATAAAATTCCTTGGGAAATCATTTTTCAGAATTTTTAAAGGAAACAGAAAGTTTTCCTTAGAGAACTAAGAATATAAGTATCTGTCTTAAAAAATTTTATTGGGTTTAACATGTAAGGATACGTTAGGCTTCTGGGTATTTTAAACTTTTTAAATGAGGAGGCTCTTGGGGAAAATTTAGTACTGGATTTCCCAAAATTCCAAAAGTCTGTCTGTGGTCACAAGGGAAATTCAAACGTGTGCGCTGTTTAAATCGTAATGCAAAAGGGTTACCAAGGCTAAACCTAACAGAACGCGATAGAAAGCTAAAACCGGCTAAACTTACGTCCTTTGGATAATTAAGATTCAAACTTGACGTAAAAGCAAATTCTTAATTACTTTTAGGGGTCAACGGGCCTGAATTCGTAAATTTTATGCCATCGTAAACGTAATGTTATTAACTATCAAATGGCATGGTAACCTCGTCCAAATATTGACACTACAGTTACTCGTTTTAATACAGAATTTCTTTGCAGAATCTCTCTTCTCCTCGACCGGCTACACTTTTGGTGCCCCGACGCCACCGCCCGGTTCGCCGTACTCCCCCGTGACCGCCACGCAATTGGAGCTATTCACGAAGGGCTTTAATTCGTCGAACATCATATTCCATCAGCCCGATGTGCCCTTGTCGCCCAAGAAACTCGACAGGAAGTGCGAGGAAAAGTGCTACAAGGTGAAATCGGAAAAGCCGTGCATCTGCCAGCATTCGCCGACGTCCAAACCGAAATACGCGGAAAGCTCCTCCGGTTGTAGCAGAACGAATCCGATCGACTGGAGTCTTGTTAGCGTGAAAAAGGAGCCCGGATCGAATCCATGCCAGGTCGCCGAGATTACCACGAGCATTTCGCCGGTGGTCAAGATCGAAGTGACATCGCCGACGCATAAGAATACGGACATTTCGGTTGCCGCGATGCCTTCGGTAGTTACGACGAATGGTAAGTGTAGCAAAATGGATGGCTAGTTTGTACTTTCAGTTCTTTCAGGGAATATTCCCGTTGGAATTGCCGTTGCACGGCAAAGGGTCCAACATCACGACATCGTGTCGTCGCCCTCATTGCCACCCGCTGGACTTCTTACAACCGTCAACTCGACGACGAGGATGTCCAGGTTGTCGGAGCTGGGTAAGTGTTTCTTTATCCGTCATTGAAATCTGCCCTAGTTTACACTTGGATTAGATCCAATTACGCTTTAATCGGCTTATAAAATTCCCTCCTCGATTGATACGCTTGCATGTGCTGATGTCAAATGTTGTCAGATTCGACGCCTGGCATGGCTGCGGGCACGACAGGAGGCGTTTCAGGAGGCGGAGCTGTTTTACAGTGTACGGAAGATCGAACTTCAGGATTAGCAGCATGGTCTCTCAGTGGATCGCACAATTCCACCATAGCTACTCCTACATTGTGGCAGTATCCTGGTAAGCACCACACTTGACCTCACCTTTTGTAGAGCGACTCTTTTTTTCCGTCGCGCATCAATCAAAATTGCTGCAACAGATAAGTACAATTAACTTGGTGCAAGTTATGAGGCTAACATTAGATATAGAAAGGCGGAGAAGTCGTCTTCTAAAGTTTCTCTTAAGTTTAAGTAGGAGGGACCCCGACGCTAATTACCTCTAATGGAGTTAGGTGGAGACAGTTTAGTAGATTATGACTAGTGAGTGAGTGATTTACGTTAAGCTTTAACGTAAATAATTCCGTTTCTAGCCTTTTCATTTAGCAGACGTCGTTTGTTATTACTGCTGGTCTCCCTATCTCAAAACGATCAACACGGACACCCTTTTCTCTTTTAACTGTCATTTTTACATGTGGTGATTGAATTACGACAATGGCGAAGTGGAAAAATAAGGGTGGATTTGTGATTTATTTATAAGGCAACGTTTCCGTATTTGTCCAAAGAACATCCATTAGTGACAGTCGAACTGTCGAAGATAATGATATTCATTTAGATTTTAGAGGGCCTGTTCGCTGAGCCCCCCTCCATTAAAACGAATTGGCGGAGACCATTTCATTCACTGAACACAAGTAGATTGTTTAACAAGTTAAAGTTTTCCCGTATAACAATGGAGGAAAAATTGCAGAGAACACGTGTTGACTTGACTGTTTTTCCTTTTTCAATATATTTGGGTTAGAAGAGAGGCATTTAGGACAAGATCCCAGTTTAGTTATGAAGAAATTTAATTTTGGGGAATTTTTTTAAGTGCTAACCAATGAGCATAAAGCACAGCTAGCACAATAAAAGTAGTACGAAAGTAGTATGCAATACTGTCGTTTAGTGAAAAATTTTAATTTTTTGGGGGCTAAACGTTCACTTAGCTTCTACTGGAATTTTGGAGACCCAAATAATGAGCATAAATTGACAAACGAGCGCAATTAAGACACAGTAAGATACAAAAAATGTTTGGGTAGGTATAATGTGGACCCTCATTAGAGATATGAACTTGCGAAAAATGTTTACCAAACCATTCAACTATAAGCCTAAGTTATACTAAAATAAGATAGAAGAAACTGAAACTTGCCAATGTGTAAATAATAAGGAAGAGCTTCGCTTTAGTGGATAATAATAATAATAATAATAAACCCAAACGCAAAAACCTATACAGCACTACTAGCTCACAAAATACTGTATTATCTCCATCAATAACCCAAGCAACCTCACAAATACAACCTCAAGAACAAAGAAACACCATAAATACAAGTAACGCAACATGTACTACAAAGACAGGTCCATCCAATAAAGTTACACGCCCTAGCACAGTTAAAAAACACAATACTCCTTCTTCTCAGAAACAACCCACTCGTATACAACCGAAGCGCAAAAACCTTAACAGCACCACAGGCTCACAAAATACTGCAATATCTCCACCAAAAACCCAAGCAACCTCACAAATACGACCTCAGGAACAAAGAAACACCATAAATACAATTAAAAAACAAAACTCCTTCTTCACAGAAGCACACCACGTTATCACAACCCACTCGTATTCAACCCAAACGCAAAGCCAAAGAAACACTTACACAATAAACTCCATTTAATAAAATTACAGGAATTATTATAATGATTTTTTTTTGTTTTGTTTTGTTTTCCTCTTTCCTGATAGCGTTGGCTATTGTGCCCATCAATAGGTATGTTGGTAAGTACGAATTACATACTATCCCTAGATGTCCAATGTACGTGTGTGATTTTTTTTTAAGGACCCTACATAACTTCATCAGACACAGACACAGACACTAATCGTTACTTGATTTTAATCCGTGCGATTAGTTAACCAGGCTAGACCTGAGTTCTCACAAGAAACACCGACCATAATAATAATAATTTATTGTCTGGTGATCAACAAAACATTGACATAGACATTGTCCAGTTGTATCTAAACGAATATTGTCAAATATATCACAAAGGAAAACATACATACATACAAACAAACAGTTAAATAAATTTATCACAGAGTAATTTGCTATACTATAGTTGTCATATATTAGAATAATTCTAATATCTTAATTATTAAGATCACATATTTTGTAAAAGCCGAGGTAAAAGCACTCAGCTATCAAATACCTTTTCATACTTATCTTACGTACTTAAGATGGAAGTGGTTCCCAGATCCATGCTGAAAGAGAAATGAAATCGACAATGTCAAAACAAATGTAGGCACAATTATCTTAAAAAGACTATTTGCGATTGGGAAATTTATGACTCTTTTCTTGGAAATCTTATAAAACTTCCATTTAAGTATATACCTTCTTTTAAAAACCTCCTATGATTGAGTTTAGAGGATCATTTGCGCATGAAGTTGGGATCTCCTTTATAGGTCATTCCAATCCCCTCAACTCCGTCCAACTTTGGAGGATGTGATTTGTAAAAATCATCGAAGTCCTTGTGTGAGATCGAAGGGACTTAAGCGTATTTTTATGGGGCAGATTAGCCAGTTTTGACTCCACAATCATTAAAATTTTGTCGAAGGCTACCACATTTCCTTTGGTGGTTTTCACTAAAACACCCTCCACAAAATAGTACTCAATTTTTGGGGCCCTTCTCATAGCTCGAGCTCCTATTGGCGACACGAGAAAAGGAGACCGCGATTCGAGCTTTTTAAGAAACTTTAAACCGCGTGAAAAAATTCTTACCGGAAGGTAACTTTTGAGCGCCCGAATGCGACTATTCCTTGAAGACGAGCGCCTTGCAAAAGGTGGTTAATTTCGTCTCTATTTATTATATTTATTTTTATTTCGCCTCGTCTATATAGCTGTCGGCTTGGAGGAAGCATTTGAAACCAAATTTATGAGGTATGTCTTCGTCTGAAGAACATAATGGATTTATAGGGCGAACTGTACTAGAAGTGGCTTGGTACAGAAACTGCCAGTCATTGTGGTCAGTTTCTTGTGTCCTCATTGAAGCCTTTACATTCTCTCATAAATTCAGTAAACTTGCATCCAAAATATTCATATATTTGTCGGATAATTCTCATGAATTCTAAAAGAATCATTTTATTTACTTATTTCACTTTGTATTTAAAATATGTAAAATAAAGTACATTTACTACGTTAAAGAAACACCGGTTTTACGTTAAATTGTTTATTGATTAGTACAAAATGCTAAACTGTCAAACTTGAACAACGCTTACTTCATTTTCTACAAAATACTGCATTCACTTATAATGTTTTATTAACAAAATATATACTCATTTACATCTGTGATTCTTTACAAACGAAAGTGGTTCATAAATCTGTGCCGTCAGGACCTTTAATGGAATAGACAAGCACATATTTTAATATCTCTACGAACAGGAGTGCAAAAATTAGCTTGTGTAACCTAAATTTGTTTTTATTACCTCAACTACAATATAAACAACAATTAAAGTGTTGAACTAAACGAATCTTTGTGGCTACACTAGCCAAGAAGTAATGGTGATTGTAATTGCATCTAATAGCGTAGACAAATAACTCAAAAATGCGCGTTCACGACGGAAAGCAACAATAACAAATATAAGGAAGAGCGAGCGTATACCTACCATGTAAAAGATTCATTGCACTTTTGCCTGTTTCGCATGAACGATTTACTACTGTTTTTTGTGTGTCTGTCACACTGTCGGAACGTAGACCTTTACAAATTTAAAAAAAACATGTTTTCTCTTCCTATATCTATTCTCTTTCGTGAATTATTTGTTGTAGTCTTTGTGTCGGTAATGCTACAACATTTACATTCGTTTAATATGTAATTACTAATTAGTGTAATTCTTCCCCGAAGAGAGAAGATATATTGCATTATTGTTGCTGATGGGCGTTTCAAAGGAATCATGCTAGTAAAGCTTCTTGAAACAACCAAGTGAACCAAGTCTTGACTTTCCTTAAATATTTGCTTAGGAATCATACTATGAATGATCTTGGGATTATATTTAACACTTTGGGCAACCTTCTCAGAAATCGCTTTAGTATTTCCATAGAAATGTCCTTGGCATTATTGTTAGGAATGTAATCAAGGGAGCATTTTAAGGAGTCATTAATAAGACAAATTGCTACAAATGCTGCAAATGATTTACTTACGAGATTTTCGTAGGGATCTAATTTAGAACTTACTTGTTACTGAATGACATTTAGATATCAAAGGAATATTTGAAGCAATCTTTAATAATGTTTAGTAGAAATTTGGGCCGTGCGGTTCAAGTTGAGTTCAAAGCGTATTTACCTACAGCTGTTTTGCAGTCTTATTTGATGTAGTCCAAAAAGTTGCTTTTTAAAATTACTTGCACACAGTCTTTTTAGTTATTTATTATACAAGACGATAAAGGGATGTTTTCCCTTTATCGTCGTGTATAATACAAAACTTTATTTTATTGCAGAAGCCATACAGATCATTATAAAACTTTTAATATTCTGTAGGTATTTAATTTAGACGTCCAAAATAGCAAGCCTTGGTTTTCCATAGAAACAATATCGTATTCTGTTCTGATTCTCAATTCATATCGTGCTCCGCGTCCTATTTTTAATAAGAATGACAATGATGTGTTGCATTTTATCTACCTTTGCCGGTAAAATGATCACTTATCTACTCTTAGAGCCCCTTCTCACTAGGCGTTTTTGAAGCGCGGCGAAGTAGCAAGGTACGCGATTGTGTAACCCGTCTTTGCAGCGCTACTGTGTCGCGTCTTTGAAGCACTACTGTGTCGCATGCGCAAACTGCTAAGTCGCTGAGCAGTGACAAGGGTATCGTAGATAATTTTTCAGATCTTTTCCCATTGGAAAATGCTTGGAGGTGGATTCAGCGCTTAAGAAAACGTTCCCAAAACCACTGTTCCTTGAATCTAAATTTTTTTTATGAAATTTTGAAATGATCTGTCGCCTTTTTTTATAGATATCATTATTGCTTCGGGAAGTTTTTATTGTAAATTTCTAATCTCATTTGGGGATCGGTATAAATTCCACTTTACATCAGTATACCAATAAAGCATAAAATACAATTTCCCAACAGCTTTTCACCAAAGCAGCGGAAAATGTTGAAAATGCATTACAACTGATAGTTCGCATGTTTATGGACAAGCCGATATAATCGGCCATTTCATAATGTAAAGTGCACCATGATTAATCCCCTATCTAAATGGCACATCGCATTTTCAAATTGAACTTTTTGAATAAATTAAACCGAAACTTCCATACAAGCGACGGTAGGCGGATTTATCTACATTTATTATTAATGTTAATAATACGTCTGATTTTGGCGATTGAATATTCGATTAGTCCGCTCGGTTTTCGGCAATAAAAAGAACGATTCATTTCCTTCATCGAGACAAAGAAACGCGTTTTTTTATAATTATTCGCGGTGTCCGTGTCACGTGTCAACCCTCCCTCGTTAATTACATCAGCTAGTCGTCCTTGCTCTTAATTTCATGTGCGAAACGTCTGCATGCCACTTTAACACACATTATTTTAGATTGAATTTTTCAAGGTGACGTAAGTTTTATTTTTTCTCCCTGATACGCAGAGGTACAAAAGGCGTGCGGCCCATAAAATTATTTATTCGCAATAAAACGTGAAGTACCCACTTCATGTACGTTTATTGCTTTAATCAAATCCGTACTTGCAACATTTTCCTTTTAATTATGTTTTGTTGAAAACGTTACACGTTAGAAAAAAGGTGAAACTTTTCCTGATCCTGATCTAGGGATTTCAGCTACAATAGAAAATTTGCGGTTTTTTATTTCTTTCCCACATAAGACTATTTTACTCTCTCAACTTCTGTCTACTGCGTTCAAGCTCTCCAAGAACTTTAGGGACTAGTAAGTACAGGCCCATAATCAGGATGAAGTGGTTTTTAATCTACAAATAATTTTTTATTGTTTTATTTTTGTTGGGTTATTGTTTAATAAGGTTAGTAAACAGTTTAACATAACGATTCTTCTATTTTGAGTGCTGTAATTTGTGTAGTGCATCGAATGTTTGTGTTTCCTTGATCGATATTGTTGACAGAGTACACAAACCACCCTTCACCTTTACCATAAACATATATCCCCTCTCCGGTTCAAAAATTACAATTTTTAATAAAGGCTGCTTTTAGATACAGCAATCATATCTAGAATGTATTAATTAATAATTGAACATTTAAAAATCAGAAAATAGTACTAAAGTCATTAGAACGTAGAATGATTCCCAACATCCCAGTCGCATTACCCCGTTGAACTTCAACAGAAAGACGTTGGCGCAGAAACTTTCCCCAGCTGCACGCTCGAGTCTGGTGCCCATGTCTTCAATTAATTATCTGGTCAATTCTCCAGAAATTTCCATCGACCAAAAAGCAAGTTGTGAAGAAGGAAGAGCATTTCACCACTTATAACTGTCTTTTTGACACTGCATCTGGGGTTTCAATATTGCCCCACTAATGGGTGACATTTGCCTCGGGGACTTTATACAGGGTCATTCATGACGAGCGTCAGTTAGAAAAATATGGAAAACCTTTGAAAATGAAGATAAACTGATAAGCCCTTTAAGGGGTTTGCCACATGATGAATTGAACTAAAATATTTTCAAAATGGCGCCACTTCCGGAAATACCGGAAGTAGCCATCAACTTTGTTATTTTAAATAGGGACCCCCTATTTTTGTGTCAAAAATTGAATTTGCAGGGACAACTTTAAAAATTTATTATTCGAAAACGGTGAGAGATATTGCAAAACAGTTTTCAATGCTTTATTAAGGAAAGATCGAATTTTCTTATGGTATGCGTAAGAGTCTAAAAAAGTGAGACTACGTCACTTTTTCAAAGCTCTCAACTTTTAAACTTTTAAATATCCGTAACTCCATTTTTTCAAATGGCACCCCCCATTTTGTTCTTCACCCAGGGTTTCAACTGTTTGAAATTATGGATTCTACGGGTCACATGCAATAAGAAAAATTTTTTTCCGCGTCGATCTGAGGCAATTTTTTTTTCGGGGCTCAAAAAAAGACAGTGTATTACCTTCCTTTTTTCCCAAAAATCGACTGCACCAAAATTTCTCGGGAAAACACTTTTTATTATTAATTTTGGTGCGTAGAATCCAAAAGAATTCGTACTTTTTCGATCGGACTTCTCAATCAAAAGTTATGGACTAGAAACCAATTTCGAAAGAAAATTCAAAGGGCTCTAACTTTTGAACTAGTAGCCCAATCTTGGAACTGTTTGAAATTAAGGATTCTACGGGCCACATTCTATAAGAATTTTTTTTTCGCGTCAATCTGAGACAATTTTTTTTCGGGGCTCAAAAAAAGGCAGTGTATAACATTGGGTTAACAACATAAGCAATCCCACAAAAAATCAAAACTACCGGATTTGGCGCATGGTCTGATGTATATTGTTGTAATACTTGGAGACAGACGGACCCTCATAAGTGTACTAACCGTCTTTTACGTCACCATTTATTAGCCAACTTCTGAATTAACACTTGAATATAACCTTTTTTTTGCGCTACGCACTGTACAGATTGGATGCATTGATCTGCTGAAAGACTATTGATGAGACCGAAGCGGGATTGGCAATATGAAACATTTACTTCTCATTTAATCCAAATCTTCACTGAAGATTGCAGACAAAGATGAATTTTGTTGTCAATCCATAACCAGAAGCTGCGAGATTCGTATTTTTTGGTCACGTATAGGTACTTTACCTTTAAATGGTGCCGGCTATTAATTAAATCGTCGGGTTCGTTTCGCAAATGGAAAGTTTTAATTAGGTAATAGTAGGCGCAAATGTAATTAACAATGTAGTAATTAGTCGTGAAGGACTAATAATCGCTTGTTAAATTGTAGCAAATATGGTAATGATCCCAATAAGCACGTTTACAACAAAAATGAAAAACCTGACTACTGCTTTTAGGAAATGTAGCGGTGGAAAACACGCAATAATTTATTGTGCCATCGCGGGTTGTAAAAGAAAAGAAGTTATCAATTTCTTCACAGTTTACTGATGTGGTTTTAAGACCCGTACACTATCATTCAAAGTACCCCCGAAGAAATGTGAAACTAGTCTTCTTTAAGCTGAAGAATTGCACCACTTCACATTGCAATTGTCAATTTACGATACAGAAATAAATATGCAAAAAAAATGTAGCTAGTACGTTTATGTTGATATGCTAAGATTTGAAAATGTAATGCTACAAGCATATTTTTGCTACAATTTCAAAACCAGTTCACATCCTTCGATATTTGTAAAAACACAATTTGGCTCGCCTTTTTGATTCTATTTTCACACTTTTCCCAGAAAATTGTCTTAATTGAAATTATTAGAGAAGTTGCAGCATTTCAATTACAATAAATCACAGCACGATACAAGCTTTTATTACGTGCGAACTTCCTCGTTTCAATAGGCGCCATCTGAATTGTACGTTTTTCGTTTCAGCTGCCCTGCCCGTGGAGCCTATGGTGCCATTACCAGTACCTGTACCGCCAGTTGGAGTTCAATTAGTACGAGATCCGACGTCCGGTCACCTATTGCTTCTTCCAACAACGGGAATAGGTAAATAAAGTTTTTTAATGATGTACATTTTATTATGTTAGCGCGCAATAAACATCGAGTTCACATCATTAAATTTATGGCCAGGCCGCAGTCGATGGTACCCACCTTGTAGTGTTTTTTTAGGTGAACTTTTTCCTTGTAAGTCCTTTCCTGTTTTATCGCAGTCATCCAATTTAACGAAATGCTTGCAGGTTGGTATATGCGAAAACCATTAAAAGCCCACAGTGTTACAGTCTTTACAAAAATTTTAATTTTGAGCTCTATACATCATTTGCATACTCAGAACTGGAAATAAGACACGGTCTTCATACTACACACATAAAAAATCCTAACTATATAACTCTTATAAATTCAAAAGCCAGATTGGACTCATTTTGTAGCGAGTATCACAGACATCGGGGCGCCATCAAGTCGATAAAAGATGAGTCACCGGCGATAAAGACTGATTTTTGAATCGCAAATACATTTTTAATCCTCGAACTTTTAAAATTCATTCTTAGATTTTTTGAAAAGGTCCACTTGTAACTTATGTAGTTGTTAGGGTTGGAAAATTAATTTTTAAATTCGATCCAAAATTTATTTTTTTAATAGGAACTTCATTGATTTTATCAGAGGTTTATAATCACAAATTCAGGATCTTTTAATTAAGTAATGAACATTAGGAAAATACTGTTTTGACTCTAATTAAATTTCAATATTATTTAACCACATGACTCCCTTAGTTGCTGACTGTTTTGCACGCTTTCTTCTTTTTGACCTAAAGCTTTCATTCTTCGCGACTCCTCGTTCTTCATTCTTTCCACCCTCTTCGCGCATTTTTCACTTCTTCGTGCCCCTTAAGGAAGCCAATTTTTTCAGACGTACTTTCTTTACTGCGCGCTTTTTTCCTCACATCTTCAACTTTCTTCTTCACGTGTTAACAATTTCAAAAATTCGTCTTCGCTTCCGCATTTCCCCCTCGGTATTTCCTTCAAGTCAGATTCCTGTTGCTTTTGGTATCTTTAGCCTTTTATCTCTTGCTTTTGTTTTTTTTTAAATTAAATGTTCATTAATTGCCGGCATATAAGATTCTGTCACATGTTCGAAATGGGAATAAAGAAATAGGGCGTTGTATTTTTTCGTTGGTCCGGAAGGAAAAAAGTGTATCTACATAATTTTGTTTGAGCGAAGTGCAAGTTACATTGAATTAATATTGCTGTCACAAACATCCAGCGACCGGTTTACTTTGATGCATAGAAAAACGCCACATTTTCCTCCAGACTGAAAGGAGAGACGCGGGAAAGCTTTTAAGCTGAAAACCCACCAAAAGAGTGAGGCTGTCAAACTGATTAAAACACAATCGTTAAATACACGAGTCGTGGATAAAATTACTACAGTATAAAGTGTCGCTTCGCGAAACCTAATAGTATAAAAGGAACACCACGGATGGTTTTCCTTGTTTTATCTCTAAAACAATATTAAAAAATAGTCCTTTGAACGCCCACTAGCTACCGAAAGTTTATTATTCATGTTATGCAATGTAATAAGAGTAACGCCTACTAAAGAATCGGTACAAACTTGTGCAGATTATTTTGTATTAGATTTCCTGCTGACTCGCCATTTAATTAGTAGAGAAACACTCACACTTCCTCTACAACTCTTACATGCATTTTTGCTCCCTTTTCAGGGTTTTTTCGCGATCTCTTCTTTCACTTTTTTTTCACGTTTCTTTAACTTTTCTTCTTGTCTACTTTTCTACTTCTTCGCGCTTTTTTCGTTCACTTTCTTGTGCCGCCTCTACCTTCTTCATTTTTTTTCATTCAAGCCTTCTTCAATCCACGCATTTTTGTGTATTTTTTATTCTTGCACTTCGTTTCTTATCACACCCTTTTTGACACTCTTATCCTTTTTTTCTGTTTATCTCGAATTCTGCATCCCTTCTGCGTTTCTGCTTTACGCATTTTTCACCTTCGCGCCTGTCTCTTGCACGTTCTCTTCACCTCTTCTGAACGGATACTTTGTTATCGCATTTTTTCACTTCTTTTTCATGTTCTCACTTCTTTTTACACCTCCCTATAAGTACGCTTCATTCATGATTATTTTTCCTTAATTCCGCTTTCACCCACAATTGCTTCACACTGCAGTCACCGACCTCTATGAATACGTTCTTTATTCAAACCCTTTTTTTAGTCGTTTTCACATCTCTTTTTCTCAGCTGTCCTTTCTTCACTCCCCCATCTTCATGTTTCCTTCCTTGCGGCTGATTTCATTCCTCTATATTTCCTTTACAGCCCTGTCATGTGTCCCCCACAGCCTTTTCATTTCTGTTTACGCATTTTCCACTCCTCTATCCCTTCTTTCAAACTGGATTTATGTCTCTCTCAAGTCCCTGTCCGATTTTCAACAGACATTCCTTCTTCACGCATTCTTCTGCAAAGACTCATACATAACATCTGTGCGCTTTATTCCTTTACTTCTTTTTGCTCTACACCACCAATTACGTGTCTCGTATTTTTTACCATCTCCTTCTTTCACTTCACGATCTTTTCTTCGCGTCTGTTTCACGCTTCATTATTTTATAAGCCCCTGATGCGGTGCATACGTTTAAGGCTTTTTTAACGCCGTTGCTTCAGTTTAAGGTCTTCTGTCTTCGCGCTTTCTTTCCTAATGCATGATTCACATCTTCCTTTCTCTACTGGCTACTACTTTTGTTCTACCTCTTTGCTTTCACGCGCGTCCATAATTTTTAGCGCATTTTCCAAACGCTATTGTGCACACTTTGTCCGCCTGTCTCTACCACTACTAGTTCTCCAGCTTTTTCGTTGTGGCCCCGAGCTCAGAACGAGCAAAGATTTTTTGGATTAATCACTTCCTTCCCGAGTTAGGACTGATTCTGTGCGCGGAAAATGTGCTTTTCGGTCGCGAGTGACAACGTTTTTAAATTCTTTCACATCTGTCTCCTCGTTCATGTTTTTCTTCTTATAACGCGTCTTTTATTCACGCCTTTTTTGCGTTATTCTTTTTAGGGGAATTTTTCGGAAGAAAAAAAATCCCTTATGTGATGCTTTTGTTCGTCTGTTCCTCGTCCAATCCGACAACGAAAACAGACAGCGTTGTCAAACCTTCGCCATTAGATTTGTACCAGTTCCAGGATCAGCGCTATTGACTATGAGACGGATTAAAAGTCTGGTTTCCGAATTCGAGCCGAGTTCAAAAAAATTCCCCTACTGAAATTCGTATGCGATTCTTCGTATCTTGTTTCTTATCTTATATATTAAAGAAATTTGAACTGCAGATGCATGTTTCTTTCTTTTTTTTCTGAACGCTCCCATCCACTGGCTGCCTGCTTCATTCCGGTTTTCCGCGCGTGTTTACTCCTTCCTTATTAACGTTTTCTGTAGTCATGGCCGCCCTTCGTAACACCCAACATCTTCACGTTTGAACGATTTGTATCTTCAGCACTTTTTTGCGTCCCCTGCATTTTCAGTTTTTCACTCCCTCTTCGCGCCTGACTCCTACGTTCTTAACGCATCATTTCTTCTTTGATGTTACCTTCTAGCCGTTTCTTTTCTTGCTTCATGCTTTCTTCACTCGCTCTTTCTGACTCCTTCACTATTTTTCTGCACAAGTTGTGCACAATACAATTTATATTTGTTTTACATCTTTTTCTTTCTTCACACTGTTTCATACCTTCTTCACGTCTTCTTTGGGGTTCCTTTACAGTTGCTTCGCATCTTTAATCTAATTTTAAGGATACATAACCTCATTTTCTTACCCCATCTTTACATGGGGCGTGAGGACCAACAAAATTGCTTTCAAACGAATTTCTGAAAGACGCTTGGGCTCTTCAACTTGAGGTTAGAGGAGGAAATATTTCAGAATGAACTTACTAATCCCTAAGCACTATGGTAACAAAATTTAAAATTGTAAGTAAAGGGTGTGATAACGAGTGTGATAAGTAAGACAACGTTGGAAGCGCCTTTGTTCTTGGAATCGTTCAGCTGAACTACCGCCATACATTCGTTTTTCTTTGACGGAGTTCGGTTTCTGACCAATTGCTCCATTATCGTTCCCTAAACTTTCTCTGGCAGAATTTTAGCCATAAGATCTGGACTCGTCCGTGGAAATTCAGATATATGATAGATAACTCGAATTGTTCACGCTCCTTTTTACGTTTTCTTTCTTCACGTTTCCTTTCTTCGTGCCTCTTTAAGCGTCGATTCAAACACCTTGATAAAATGTAAATGAATGTAAACGCGTTTACGTCACAATAACATATTTTTCCTGTAATCATGAAAACATGCGTGCCAAAAGCTGATTATCTACACGTAATGAGGCAAGATGCTTCTAGCAATTTTATCTCAATGTTTAGCTTAGATTTGACATTCCAGAGATATCGGTGATAATAAAAACAGTTTGTTCTTTAATCATTTCCATTTTATTCGAACGGGATGTTGGATTTGCAAAAAATGGCGAAACATGACGAAATAAAATCATAAAAACCTATTTTTTTTTTTGGGCTGACTTGAAGTAATCGCCCGATAAAAAGTGACTCACACCTTCATAATACGTCCTTATTCCACAATCGCAATTTTAAAACTACATGTAATAGGAAAACAAACCGTGACTCACTAATAATAGTCTAGTCACAAGATATCAGCCATTAAAAAAGTTGAGTGGATTAGTTTTTATTGCACATGCAATAAGTGCGGTACTCGCTCGGTTTAGACTGACGTGTTGGAGAGGTTTTAAATTCGTGTGGCAGTGTGGCATTGATCACTGTATCTAAAATGTTTTGGGGTGAGGCATTTTACTCTCCTAAATCGAAAAATCGGCTTCTTTCGTTTTATTATCAATTTTTGGCTATGGCGATCAATCATTACCTAATATTTACATACATCAGCAACGCCATACGCCCACGGAACATTTTAAATTTAACCTTTTCTGTAACCTATAATTAGGGATTAATTGACAATGAGCACGATGAATAATTTTGGTTTACTTAATAGTTTAACACGTGTTGTGTTTGCCGAAGCGTAGTCGTCTAATATTTGTGTTTATTTTCAGAACAAGTTCAACAAGCAGTATTGTGGCCCAGTTACCATCAACCATCATCAGTACTATTGCCTCCAATACCACCCCCACCTCTCCAATTACTCAGTTCAGCGTCTTCCGATTACCTGTCAACAAGTACAACACTTCACCAGCACACCCAGACTCACAGCACCCGCCTTTTAGCCGTGACCACGACGGACGCCAAGAGAAAAATCCCTTTACCAATCCCGGCGACGACGCTTATTAAAATAGAGACTGACGCGACCACGCTGGACCAAACCAAAACGCTCCAAGCGGTCAGTACCATAGCGAGCAACACGGGGACGGTTTTCACTGATCAAAACATGGCACCGCTGGTAACGACACACGTGATATACCAGCACCCCACAAACCTCATACTATCCCAAGCACCGACCACCGAAGCGTCGTGCAGATCGCAGGCGACGTCGCCCGTGGTTTGTCTAACCCCGCCACCCGAAACGGCAGCTGTGATCGAAGAGGAACCGCCTTGCGTGCAAGATGCCAGTAACCAAACTGACATTCCCATTTGCATCGAAGAAGATACCGTGCCGCAAAGTGCCGAGATTGCATCCGAAGCAAATCACAAAGAAGACAAGGAAGAAGAGAAACTCCAAGTACCTGAACAAATTCCAGAGCGATGCAAGCCAGTCGAGACCGTCGACGAACCCCCTTGCCATAACCAAGAGGAAGAGCACAAAGTTCCTCCTCAGCCCGATCTAAGCGGATTAGAGCTGCTTTCGAATAGCATAGTTGAGTTCGAGAATTGCCTAAAAAACAGCGAACCGAAAATCGACGAAACTAACGTTACCGTAAAATCCGAGCATAACGACGCCATTCTCCAACGGATAAAGGAGATGTCAATCAAAGATAAAGAAACGGAATCTGTGATCTTAGACGATAAATTGGGCGGACTAGATTTACTCTGTGCCCTGGCCGAGCAGAGAATAATGGAGGAGGTTGAGGTGAAGAAAATCGCGCCAGTTTACAGTCGACCCAAAGAGAAAACGAGAGATCTGACACGCGAAGAACGCAAGAAGGAGAAGCGAAAAGCCAAAAGGTCGCACGATGAACATCGCCGTAAAAAACTGAAAAAGGACAGTGATTGTGCTAGTGAAAGTGAAGTTTTTAGTAAGGACAACGATCATAGAACTTACAAATCGCGGCAGTCAGAAGAAGAGGTGCGAAAGTTCATCGCCAGTAAATCGCAATCGACGTACCCCAAAGGAGATTGGCCTGAGATGAACGCGTTGGAATTAGACATGAGGATGAAGCTCGCCGATTTACAGCGGCAGTATCGGGAAAAGCAGCGCGAGTTGAGCAAGCTCAAAACGAAACGGAGGTCTCTCGACGAAAAGGACGCCCGCAAACGCAAGTCGAGAAAAAAGTCGACTTACTCAGACAGGAGCGCGACTCCTCCCCCGCTTCTGGACAAAATGGACGTGCCCCCAGTAAAACCAAACAGAAATCTCGACCTATTAAAACCGCCAACGTTGTGCGCGGTGAGTAACCAGGTCGACTTGCCAGGATATCGAAGCCATTCCTCGTGCGATAGCTCGCCGGAGAAGACCTCATCGTCTAAAAAGCGCAAAGTGGGAAGGCCGAAGAAGCTGATGACGTCGTGCGATTTGCGCACCGCAACGGAAACGATCGTGGCGAAGAAACCAAAGGCGGGCAGCTTCGTCGGGTATCTTCTGGCAGCGAAACAGAAACTGCAGATGCAGACCAAAGACTTGGTTTACTCCAACAGCCCGCCTAGGTACGTGGAGGAGTCGACGAAGAAGGCTAAGACACACAAGGTGAAGAACCATCTGATGGTCTCGCCGCAAGTCCACTCGGAAAAACCGAGCAAAATTAGGCCGAAGCTTAAAGCGGAGCTTACCGTGAAATCTTACGTTGAGGAGGAAGAGGCCAATAACGAATGGGAGCAACCGCACGAAGATATCCCAAAAGAGGAGATGGAAGTGAAGCAGATTGATCAGGAGGAGGAAGTACCTGAAGAGGTTGTACCAATTGTGGCAGAGGAGCCGGAGGTCGAAGCAGCGCCTCTTCCCGTTGAAGAAAAGGTGAAGATCGCCGATAACCGTTGCGTTCTCACCGCGGAGCACTTGGATAAAGATAAAACGCGAGTGCTGACTGCAATGGGCGGCTTGTTTTACGCCGGCCAGCTGAATTCGGTCGAGCCGCCCGACGTGTATTCGATTACGTTGGATGGGGAGCGAGGAAATCGGCCTCATATTATGTCAAGGGAGGAGATCTTAAGGGATGCTGTGAGTATCATTGAAAGTTTCAGTTAGTTTACTAAAAATAATCAATTTATCAGTAATCAAATATTATCGGTATCTAATAAGCGATTATTTTGATTCATGTATTATCAAACCGTCACAGGGATTATGAAATAATTGATTATTCTTCAATAATTTTTGTTAATCGATTATTTATAATCGAATTATTGTTCAGATTGAACTATAAATTATTTTAATTGTTTCTTCACCCCTTAAATTCTTCTATTTCTTTGGATTATTCCAATGTTTAATTAAGATCCTTCGGTTTCGTTCCGCTCTGGAAATTCTTCACATGCTCTATGCTTCGGATTCTTCGAGGATTTTTCAAAATCTTTCTTTTACAATGCTGCGGATCTCTCAATTTTGTCCAAAATCTGCAAATTTTCGGTTGCATCACTCCGATTCGTCATATATTTTTTGAACATTTTTGACTTTTTTTGACTGTACTGTTAAACAACGAAAAAATCGTTTGTCCGAGTTCGTATGGTTGTACTTAATCAATTTTTTCTCTTAGGATTCTCCTAATTTCTCAGTTTCTTTAGACTCTTCAAACAGACCCTACAGAACATAGTTTTAAGAAAGATTCAAGTAAAGTTTCGACAAGATTTCATAAATTTACCGTGGGTTTCTTCTGGAAGGGAGGTCCCTTACTAACGTGCGGGTGGTAAAAATCCCAGAGATTGAAACATCTGTATAAAAAATAAAGCAGTGATCGTTCTCGTAAAAGTCGTTCTCAGAAAATAGGAAACACAAAACCGCAAATTGTGGTTGGGACATTGTCAATGGGGGTTTTTCTAGGACTCAGAAGTTGTGCATTTGCGTTCATTAATGAATCTTTTTTTAGATCATTGAGGTATCCCCGGCAAACGTGGAGGAATTAGCGGCCGGTACAAGGTTGTGCGCCTACTGGAGTCAACAGTATCGTTGTTTATATCCAGGAAGTGTGGCTGAGCCTGGAACGCCCGATCCGGAATTGGACTCGAAATTCGTTGCCGTGGAGTTTGACGATGGTGACAGTGGGCGGATTGCAATTGACGACATACGACTACTCCCTCCAAACTACCCCATTATAGGTATTCTTTCAGACACTCTCCCTTTACACTGTTAAACACTGCGACTTACAGAATACGACCCCAACCCTCTTCTGAGTTTAAGCAAGCGCAGGCGGAGAATTTCGGCCACCAGCGGTTCGGTGGGCGAACGCCGACTTAGCCAGTGCCTGTCGTCGATCTCCTCGCCGCCCCCAGTGATAAACGAACCGATCAAGGCGAAAACCTCAGATACGGAAAAGGAGAACAAGGACGCGAACAAGCCGGAAACTTCCGCCGAGGAGCAGCGCGAGCGCAAGCGTCTCAAGAAGAAAAAACGCGACAAACTCAAACAAAAGTTGGCACACGACGACCGAAAGAAGAAGAAGAAACATAAGTGCACCGAGGAGAACTGTAAACACAAGAAACACCACAAAAAGCACAGAAGGCACAAGAAACACCACCACAAAGAGGAATCAGAGACACCAACCGAACCGCCCGCGGAAATCGAAGTCGAAAAGAGCCCGATCGAAGTTTCAATCGAGAAGGAAGACGAGCCAGAAGATGAATTTAACGAGGATCCTGAATACCAACCCATTGTTAATCCCGAGGACGAAGTCACTCTCGATGATATTCTCGAAGCCAAATCAAAAGTAATAACTCGCCTCACTTTCTGTGCAATTTGTACAGCTTTCGTTTCAGAAATCAAAGAAGATCAGGGATCGGCAAGAATCGTGCGAGAGCCGTAGTAAAATGACGGCGTTTTTACCCGCCCGACAGCTTTGGAGTTGGTCCGGGAAAGGGTACAGGCGGCCGAAAGCGAAAGGAAGATCTAGAAAACAGTTCTTCAAAACGATACAAAGAGGAAAAGAGGCGATAGTGGTAAGTTACAGTAATTGATTGTTAGTGTTTTTACTGAATACCGTGTTGTTTTAGGTTGGCGATTCTGCAGTGTTTTTGTCGACCGGTCGTCCAGATAGGCCATACATTGGTAGAATTGAAGCGATGTGGGAGATTTGCGGTACTATGGTTGTGAAAGTGAAATGGTTCTATCATCCTGAGGAGACTGTTGGTTGCCCGTTAAATTTAAAATATCCTGTAAGTACATGTACCCTCAAATTGTCAAATTTCATCATATCAATCATTGAAAATTTCTTAATAGTTTTACAGCTCCTTCGCATTCTCTTTACACTTTCTTCTTTTACTTTCTCCAGTCTTTTCTTCACAAAGCTTCCTTATATTCCTTTTTTTGGGTCTCATGTTCTCTTCCTTCGCGCCTTCTCGCTAAAGGCCGAATTCATTCCCTTTCTGCGTCTGAGCCTTTTTTTAAATTCCTTTGTACACATATACTTTTTTTACGTTTGTTAATGCCTCTTTCATTCCTTTACGCTTAATTGGCTCCTTTTTCTTAACACACGTCTTCTTTACGTCTTTTTTTGCTATCTTTGCCGTTTTTCGCATTTCTTTTAAGCATGTTTTATGCATTCCATAAAGTTCCTTCATGCCTCCTTGATGGTCTCTTCTGCCTTTTTCTCTACCGCGTCTATTTAAACGCCTGTTTACGGTATTTTCACGCCTCCTTTTACGTGTCTTTTTCACGCCTCTTTTCTTATCGCGCACCTTCTTCAACATTCCTTACTTTCCACTACATTTCTTTCCAAACTTGTGTAACAGCCCAAAACTCTAATTTCTTTATTTTTATTGGGAATCGGCAAAATTGATTTTCTGTATGGGCATCACTAAATATTACCACTCACTCATCAGCGGTGTCCACGAGAACCCCAGAACTCTGGCTGGTTAGAGGCATTTTTTGTAAGTAGTAGCGCCAAGAATATGTGAGTGAGGACTCCACATTCTTTGACTGTGATTATTTGAAGAAATAAATGGATCTGATACCAGAAGTCGTGTAGATCTGTGTTGGTCCAAATAGAACTAGTAACGAAACTTCAAATTGTTGGAAATTGGTGGTTGCAGGTTTGTGAGGAAGAGGAGAAGAGTTTTGTCTGGTTAGAAAAATGAACAAAACATGAATTTTTAGCGCATTTTTTAAGAATTAAAAAAAATGTTGTATTGTTTGCGTTTTGTCCTTCCGTCCGCCCGGACCCACTTCTGCCGTTCGTTTCTGCCCACATCTTGAAGGTGTGTCTGACGGCTGTCTAAAAGCCCCCCCCCCCCCCCCCCCCCCATTATTTCCTGAGATGCCAATTAGTATTTTGCATAGGCATGCCTTTAGTGGTGCCAAGTGAAACTTTAGAAAAAGGGCGAGGGGGGGGGGGGTAAACACATGTTCGTGGTTCTAGTGGAACAAGTTTTAACCTTCATGGTACTCTAATAAAAGGTCTCAACGAAAGGAATTAATTTCTACCAACCATAGCCCTTCTCCTCGACCTTTTATCATGATCAGGTATATTCCCTTATACCTCAAGAACGGATTGTCGGAAGAGGGTATTCACAAAGGGCGATTGAGACGTCTGCAAGAAATATATCCATTGGTTATGTCAAAACAAAAGTTATTTCGGTTAAAAAAAATTCGATTTATCTGCACAAGAGTTGTGCACAATTTATACTTGTTTATTTTATTAGCTGAATTTCTTTATGTGAAAGAAGCACCAAACAGACATTGAAATTCAGAATTTGACGGTCTGATTCGTAATTATGACACCTTCATATTTCCCTGGTGAGGATAGCTGTCTCTGAAAAGCACAAAGAAAGTCCTGTAAAAGGATTAGAATCCTGTAAATAGAACTTGTAATGCCCCAGGTTTTTTTTAGACTATTGAGGCACTTCTATGCCCTTTACGGAGCTAGACGAACTTAGTAGGATTTGGAAAGGGCACAGAGAGCTCTGAAGCAGCTATATAAAAGGGTTAGAAAGCACTGGAAAGGATCTAAAAGTCTATCGGAATGCTCTAAAAGGCACCCAAAAGGTTCTAGAGGACATTTTGGCGCTCCCGAGTCTCTGTTCTGGAAAGCTTTCTAATACATACAATGATACAAAAGCGATAGAAACCATTGAAGAGACTCCATTTTATTTTCAGTGCTCTGAGAACTACTGGGAATGCCATAGAAGGCTTTTTAGTGCTCAGAGTCTCTTAAGTGATTTCAAGCCAGGGATTAAAAGGCTCTGAGAAGGCAACAGAAACTTCTGAAAAGCCCCCTACGCCTCTAAGTGCTCCTGACCCTTTCTCGAAAGTAACTGTTAAGGTAGTTTTCTGAAAAGGAAATCTATTCCCTTTTATGCTGAGTGATATTTCATACCCCCGTTGATCCCCAGGTAAGTTTGCTCCTTAAAAGTTGAGTCCTTAGAACTCTCATGGAACATCTCCTAGAAAGAGAAAATTTGATAGCAATCTCTGGAAAATAATTAAACATTTTGGGGGAAAGCATAGCGCCAATAGCCTCCACGGAAAGGGAGATTTTTACCTTTTTCAGAAAGTAACTGTGATGGTATTTTTTGGGAAAGGCTAATTTATTTTTCTTTTGCTCATATGCCTCAGACCTTCATTGTGTCAGACTTTTGTGTTACATCCTCTGGTGCATGGAATATCTCCTGGAAAGGGAATATTTTGAGAGCTTCATAGTTCATAATTCAAAAGGAAGCATGTTTGAATTTTGCTGGGCGCATATTCACAGGAGACAATATTTCGGAATTATATTTAGGAAAAGAAGTTTTCTTGGAAGTAATTATTCTTGGGGCGATTTCTCCTGATGGAATATACCACGCGAATTAGCAATGCATACATTATAATTCCTTGGTGGCGATTAAAATTGCAGAGGATGCCTACAGCCTACTCAGGACGCTTTTTTTGACCCAATTAGGGATGTAGTATTTTAATATGTGTATATCATTGTTTCAGGGCGCGCTATTCGAATCCCCCCACATCGACGAAAACGACGTCCAAACGATATCCCACAAGTGCGAAGTGCTCCCGTTGAAAGACTACAGGGAGAAACTGGAGGACGATCCCAAACGTTACGCAACAATTTACGACAACAATGACGTTTACTATCTCGCCGGCTACTACGACCCGAGCGCGCAGTCCCTCAAAATACAGCCCGATATACCTTTCAATGCGGACTAAAATTAAGCAATAAAAGAAACGAAAGAAGAAGACTATTGCTAACTGCAATAAGTGATGGTTGGTGCTATTTTATCCAGATTTTTAAATCTATTTTGGACGATAAGTATTATTTATATTATTAGTTTTGATGTTGAAACGGAACGGTTGAAGGTTTAAGTTTATTATTTTTTATAAGTTGTTTTTGATTTTCTATGTACATAGTCCAGATTTTTCTGGTTATCAATAGTAATATATACATGTTTTGTTGTCAGCTGAAAAGAAAAGGCGATCAATAGCAGAGTGATTTAGGTCCATAAGTTAATATTAGGTGTCCATTTTAATAATGTATTTGTCAATCAATAATAAACTTGTAACTTTTGGACTGAAATGGGTGCCTATCATTTAAGTATAAGTGTATAATGACCTAAATTGTCCTCTATTGCATCTCGTAAAGTTACGGCATAAGTTTCCGTGCCTAATCCTCTCTCTACTACTAAATAGTACAGTTAACTGAGGCTTTTGCCATTCAAAAAAAAAATGTGCAATCGATAGTAGTAATATTTCACTTAATTCGGCCTTTGTATTTCTTAAGTATTCCTTAGGTATGCTTGTTAGACAGCTTTCTGAAAATACTTACAGCAGGTTAAGTTGTGGTGTCGTTATTGATTTTTCTCTATTCCTCTCAGGCAGATCTGTTATTTTTAGCTGTTAAAAATACGCTTATAAATTTAGAGTAGGTGCTCACAGTATACAAAGTAAACCTATTTTTAATAATACTAAGTGTTTTTCAATCTAATTGTTGTATTATAGTTACGAAGTGTTGTATTTCGGTTCTTTACATCCTGCAAAGTATACGCAATAGAATTTAAGTTTTTTTTATGCTTGAAACATCTTCCCTTAGTATACAACCTTTTGTAAGTGTGTAGATCTTATAGATATTACCTCACTAAAAATATTTTATTATATTACTATGTGTGTACAGACAGTGTAAAGACAGAAAAAATACATATTTTTGCAACTAAGAATAAGACAATATGGTGCTAGCGAGTAAGAAAAGGCGGTGACATCGTGCTTTGTAAACCAATGCAGGGTCTGAAGTGACGTTCATTATTACAGAAAAAAGTTTGTAAATACACTTTTGCTTGTACATATCGCCTGTACTCTATTCAAATACATATTTAAAAAAACAAGAAGCATGATTTTTTTGACAGGAGAAACGGACTTGCAGTTGTACCACTCTCCCCAAACCTTAATTTGTGGGTTCTATGACTTTGTACCAACTAATTGTAGTACCCGAAATATAGCCCAGTTATGATTACAATATGCGTTGGTAACACTTTGTAAATGGGATTTTCCAACCCAAAGCACAATCCAATCCATATTACGATGAAGATATTCTATTTTAGAAAAAATTACAGATTTCGCAATCCATCGGAAACATTGGAAATGATAACCGTATAGCGTCATATGTAAAACACACATAAGCCTTTTTCATCTAGGATCACTCGCTCCACTCCACTCTTTTCGCAAACATACACTTTCTGAATAATACCTAAAACCGGCCCTACATTATCAGTTCTAGCGCCGCAACTGACAAATGAACTGCCAAGCCATAACTAAAAGTAACTTTCACCCTACACACGATTCAAAAAACATCACTACTCTCCAAGTCATTTCTTCTTGTTAATGTACAGGGTGTAAATCGAAAAGTGGAACAGGCGTTTAACATGGGAAATTACTTTTTCTTTGCGCAAACTTTTCCTAATTATTTTACGCAAAAATACTTCAAATAAAAGTTATAGAGATATAAATTCTGCATCTAAATCATGTGAAACCATTATTCTACCTATTCTTGTACGCGAAAAAATTATAAAGATTGCGTTTTCACGAGTTTTTAGTCTAAGTAGCCATGGACTATGTTTTTCTTTTATCATAGTCCATGGCTACTTCAGACTAAAAACTCGTGAAAACAGAATCTTTATAATTAATTTTTTCTAGTACAAGGAGAGGTAGAATAATCGTTTAACATGATTTAGTTAGATGCAGAATTTATATCTCTATAACTTTTATGTGAAGTATTTTTGCGTAAAATAATTAGGAAAAGTTTGCGCAAAGAAAAAGTAATTTCCCATATTAAACGCCTATGTTCCCCTTTTCGACCCTGTACAATCTTTAGTGAGAAGTTTGAGTTGCAATCGAAAATGTCACGGAAATGTGTTGCTGTCACTCTTAATTGTAATGTTTTCGCAGAAGAAAGGGTGAAAATGGACTACAATTAAGAGTTTCGTCGCGCTGAAATTTCGCGAGCTGCGCTTCAGTTTAGTCCAAGCTTGGCACGAAACATCCTGACACCATTGTTTAAAGTATTTAAGTAAGCAGTGCCTACACCTTCATGCCTGGACTGAACTGACAAATAGGTACCTGTGTGTCTAGGGAAAGCATAAGCCTCATGCTCGTAATCGAGAATTTTAGATTGGAATTAACAAAACAATTGCGCACTATTAAGTAAGTAGCGTATCGAGAGTATCCGCGACTTTTTTTTTAATCTACCGATTGTGGCAGAGTACGGTACATAATCAACACTTGACGCGACACTGTCTTCTTTTCTGCTTGATGAAACTGGAAACTTCATACCCCTACACAAAATATAAGCATTTCCAATGCTAAAAGCAACAAAAAAGTAATGCTGAAGGTATATTGTAGGGCAAGTTGAGGAGAAAATTTTATTCTTTTTTCTGTTATCAATCCTAATTTGTTAGTTTTATTTTTTAAAATAATAAAGCATGAATATTATTTCTCATCAGTAGGGAAATTCAACAATTCTTCCTGAAATCCTCCTGCAGAGTCCCGCGGTGTTGCTTTTCGGTAACTCCTCGTGCTTGTACAGTGTCTAATCTGTTGCAGGAGGGCATACTATGACGAGGGTCTCGGTATGAATGTGTTCATTTTGTTTCCCTACCTTTATGATACCTCAGATTTGTCTGTGGTCTGATAGACCACCTATTCTGCCGGCTAGAAAGGAGGAGGGCAACAGCAAAGGTAATATTTAGGACTTCTTTCCTATTCCTGGTTACTAATATTGGCTCATTGCCCTGATTGAGTAATCTCTAGTTTCTCTGACAAAAGAATATCTAAAAGGTACTGACCTCTATTGTTTGGGTCCGTGGTAGCCCATTAGAGGTAATGGGAGTTGGCCTCTTTCTGCCCTGGAAAGTAGCCAAAGCACATATTATTTTATTCCACAAATTCATCATATCTTCATAACAATGGAATTCATTCGGGCACCGACGAATTTGGCTAAAAATTTCACTTGTGCTCTACGCATTGTCATTGATGTACTTTCCCTCATTGAAAATAATAATAAGACTTATTATTTTTGTTTGTAATAAAGAAAACTATAAATATAAGTATAATCTTGAGTATAATTAAGTGCATCAATCCTCCACTAATGAACACATCACAATTTTTTTTGCAGATTTCAAATTACTTAATTGTATTAGTAGTAATATCTCCCCCTGTGGGTTCGGGGTTAGAATTGGCCCACGGTAATCTCTGCCTGTCGTAAAAGGCGACTAAAGGAGACCTTATATCTTGTCAAATACACTCACCAAATCTTCTGGAAGATTTACCAATTTTCCACAGATTCTGTTAGCGTTTTCTGTTAGATTCGTAAGTTATTCTCAATTGTCCTTTGGTTCTCAAATTCATCTCATTTCACTTTCCCTCAAGTTTGCATCAAATTTCTCTCAAGTTTTTTCATCGTTCCACCCCAGTTTGTTCCACATGCTACATCAACTTTCCCCTCAAATTCCCCTCAGGTTACTCTAATCATTCTCTATTTTTCTTCAAATTCCTTTCATAAGCCGCGCTCAAGCTATTTTCAAATTTCTCTTACCATTACGATTCCTTCAATAACCTACTTCAGCACAAATGAGGGGTTGTGATTAAGTAAAAAAATGAAAATTAACGGAAACGCGAGACAAATTGAGGTAAAAGAATTTTCCTACTACTTTAAAGAGTGGAGCATTGAAGATAACACCATTTGTTTCTGACAAACAGAAAAGTCTAAGAAAAAGCAGTTTTAGATTTCAAACCCCTACAGTCTCTAGTGGAATTGTGACTACTATAACGGTACCAAATTTTTCATTAAATACGTCTGAAACACCTTTCAATGTTCAATCGCCCACAAATAATGGCAGCGTTTTCGAAAGTGTGATCAATAGATTCAAAAACCTAATGGGCTCCTATAAATAGCCTGCTTTGTTTTATTTAGTTCATCTAATTTTCATAACTGCAACATCACTGCGCTCGCCGCATGCTCATCAGTCATCACTCATCAGGCATCACCCACTAACTTATTTATCTCCACCGGGCAAATTTAAAATACAGGGTGGACCGTTAGTGTGTGGGTGGAAGACTGTGGATTTATTAACGTACATATTTAAAATTCATTGGTCCGTATGAATAAAAGTAAGCAAATGCTTACTTATACTTGCAAAATTCAAAGTAAATACTCGTAAGTGCTCCTTCGCACTGGGCGACTTAGCAGCGCTTCTAAGCAGAAGGACAGGACGCTGTGCAGCGCTGCTAAACCATGCTAAACAGACCAGTATGAAGGGGCAGTTACGAGTATTTACTTTGAATTTTGCAAGTATAAGCATTTGCTTACTTTTATTCATACGTGCCATTGTCGGGGAATGTTGAAGGACTGTGAAGGCTACAACCTAAAAATACTTTTAACGACATTGCAATATACCTACATCAGGGTCAAAGTTGCATTTTTTAAATATAGAATCCGCTTTATATTATTGCATATTTCGATTCTTTGGTCAATTTTTGTGTGACTGTATTACACGTGATATCTAAAATGAGTCTAGCTCGTTTAGCCGAAATTCGTCATTTTTTCAAAAAGTAGATGTTCAGTCTACACAAAATATACTAACGTAAATATACTAACGTAAGCCCAACGGTCAATTTTATTGTATTAAAAAAAATGCGCGAAATTTGCATCAATTTTTGAAAATTTCAATCACAGGCAACATACCAAGTTATTTTTACTGCATCAAATGTAGGATTTATTTTGTCAGTGAGACAATGAAAATCTGATACGCCAGTTCGTGTTCCTCTGAATAAATTCAGCTGCAATAGATGGAAGATGTAAAACGTGTAACCTGTCTCTATGGCAGTGCAAAATACCTACCACATTATTTAGTTTTAGATGCTTTAGATAACTTTTTAATCGTCTTAATCCTGAGAACGATCTTTCTGACGCACATGAAGTAACCGCGCAATGGTAAATATAATTCTGAGAAATTTATAACTCGGGCAGTAAGCTTTCAAGATACGAGTAGTCAGAGTTAAGAATCTGCGGCAGCTTCTCAAATTTCGTTGAAGTTGCTTGTTTGAGGACCGTTTTGTTTCACTATATTCAGGAAGATACCTCTGTGCAAAACCAGCGGGTTTGAGTCGAAATCATCTCCATAAATTTCATGGATTTCCCGACTTTCCCCTTCTGTGGAAATTGCCTCCATTTTTTGTAGATGTAGGTCTGTGAACCCAAAATCTCAAAATAGATTTTTCTATAAAAATCCTTCGGGGTAGCATAATGATATGGGAATTGGTACCTTATGCATTCCGTCGTTCTCGGGACGTTACGGAAACGGGACAATTAGCTTCTTCTAGATTCACATTCCTGGCTGCTAGGCCAGTTTCATTCCATCAAATATCAAATTTGGCTTCATTTCTGTACTTTTTTAAAACTTCCAAGGTGGAAAAAATTGCGAATTTCGTAGTTTGCAGCGGGGTTTGCAGAGCTTTGTTTAAGACCTCCACTTTTTTTCAAAATCCTTATGAAAGAACATTGTTTCGAAATGCGTCAACTTAGTCCCAAGTCGTATTGGATTAGGGAGACAATGATTGCGAATATGAGTTAAAAAGATGAATATAATGGCAATGGTCTCAGTAACCGCCTCTGCATTACTACACATCTTTTTTAGCTAAGTATTAAGTTTTTTAATTGTGCACCATTTAAGATCTCTCAATCCTAAGCTTCGATAATTCGATAACTATAATTGAGTTTTCATGTTACGAAGAAGAATTTCGGTAAATCTTTGGAATTGGATTAGGGACTGAGTCATTAGTATTTTCTGAATGACATAATAAGAAATGGATATGTACGTACATACGTCAA